TAAAAGGCAACGTCAGAAATCGCCGACCTAATAAATTTTATTTAGCAGCGCACTGCAGTTGTAGATCTTTAACAGTACCACGTAAAAGGATCATAAATTTAATGGGAAATTGAAAGCGTGTAGATTTTACTACTTGTAAAGGCAGAGTCGTCTCTCTCTCTCTCTCTCTCTCTATTTCTCTCTGTTCGCATTAGCGGCACATACATACGCGTAATACTAATCGCAATTGTTACCTTTTTATCTAAGTATTATCATTTACTGCTTACGTAAGACACAAATAATATTTACAATTGCAAATCGCCTGAAGGTACATTTACATGGTTAGAAGTTGGACTAAAGGCGCGTTTACGTCTGAGCACGAACATGTTCGTGGAAAGGCGAGACAGAACGAATACGTCTGCTGGGGACGAACAATCGAGGCTTGGCTAACTGTGCTGCTCAATTTTATTTGTCTCATTTGAGTTGTTTTATTACTAATAATAATCGTCATCAGCAGCGGGATTTGTCGCTTCGGCCGATTTCGTTCAGGATTTTCAAGAATACAAACGAACGTGTACGAACATCACAAGGTCAGACGTAGTCCCACCTTTAGACCATTGCTTAGCATTCGAGAAAACACCGAACCAATTCCCGATCCGCCGTATAGTTCAAACAAAGTATCGCTGTTGCTTCTTTGCATCGTGTAGGCAAATACTAGAGCAGTAATAGTCCATTGATGATCTTTCCTAATTTCTTAAAAGTGGTTGATACTGGTCCACCGCGATACTCTCTGGCTTTACATTAGAATGTAAGTCAGAATAATTGCTTCTTAAATAATTTCCGAGGCGTATAAGCAATCTTCAAACAACGCAAAAATTCGTATAATATAGTCTTTTATAATCATTTAAACTAAAAAATGTAAAAAAAATCGCTCTCAACAACATTTACGACTCATTTCTTCTTTCTCCATTCGTTTTTGTAAGACATTTCTTAAATTTTTCGTTACCTATATGAACACTACACAAACGTATTTTCCTGTAAAATGTGAGATACTGTTGTACGAGTTACATTTTTTTGTTGCATGAAATCTTCATTCATTTGCAATTTATCCTAAGGTCAGTTCGAAGGTCATCGGTAGAGATGAAGCGATTAAATCAGCTCTTCCGTGGCATAACAAACGTTCCTTTAGGTTCGTTCGTATGTGATTATAATGTGTGTGTATATTAACGTCAACATAAGAATGCTGCAATCCTTTGAATATTGTATCTGAGAAGAAGACAGTCATTTCCGGTTTGCTATTATTATTGTTCAGGTTAAGATGGGAAAGCGTATTTGCTTTAATGGTAACGTTCGCGACCTTGGAACCTTGCACTCAAGGTCGATTTAAGTAGGTGGCATTGTACATGTACGTTTATAATATATTTATGTATGTGTTCCAATGTTATTTGTATGTACATTCATACAAATGTAGTAACAAATGTAACTACATGTTTTTTGTTGCTTACTCAACTAACTTTGTCGACAGATAAAATTGTACATGTTTCTGTATAGTATTTTAGGGGATTACTGATAATTTTAAGATAGTTAAACCAACTAACATAGCGATAACTATATCCATACAAATATTGACAAAACAGTATTGCATGAAAATAAATAAAAGTAAACCAAAAATACTGGGATGCAAGGGAAGAAAAAGTAGAGAACGAGCCAATATAAAGGTAGGATACGAAAGATTCGAAGAAGTGGCAGATTTTAGGTATCTAGGATGTCAGATAAGTCAGGACGGAAAGAGTAGCAGGGATATAAAGCAGAGGATGGCGCAGGGTCGAGTCGCCTTCAATAAAATGACGCCACTTCTATGCTCGCGAACGATTAATTTAAAAATTCGAAAAAGATTATTAAAAGTGTATGTTTGGATCGCGGCGTTTTAGGAGCAGGGAAAAGAAAAGGTTAGAAGCGTTCGAAATGTGGTGTTATAGGCGGATGATGAGGATACCGTGGATAGAAAAGGTTAGGAATGAAGAGGTATTAGAAAGAATAGGAGAACAGAGGGCTCTATGAAAGTTAATAAGAAATAGACAAGATAGGTTGGTAGGACACCTTCTCAGGCATGATGGTCTAGTCAGAGACATACTAGAGGCTGAAATAGAAGTCAGGTGGACGCAAATAATTAAGGATGTGGGATATTCTAGTTTTAGGGAAATGCGAAGATTAACTTAGGATAGGAAGGAGTAGAGATGCGTGTCCAACCAGTTTTAGGTCTGACGACCTTATGACTATGATAACAAAAATTGAGTTAATCGTAATTACCTTTAATTGTTATCTAAAATTTTAGAATGATTGACTGAATAGGATTGGTGGTGGAATGGTGGTGCGCTTCGGTGGTAGTAGCTTAAAAAATATAATAATCTTCAAAAGTCCATAATTCAGAAATTAATAATTAAATAAAATAATAATTCTGTATTGTTCTAATATTTTTAGTTCAAAAGATGGAAAATGTAGTAGTAGGTATTTACTTACTTATCTCTCGATGGGTTCTGTCTAGTTTTGCAGGTCAGTGCTACAATAAAGTGCAAAATAGGAAATATAAACATCAGGAATAATAAAATACAAAATGTAAATAATTCAGTGATACTATCAAAATAGTTAGTTCTTAGATATCTACCAATTTCTGTTAAGNAGCAATTTTTTGAAGAGTACAGTATTCATTTATCCACTATTACCCTAAAATGTTTCATAGAAAACCAAACAAAGAATTGCTTAATAATACATCATCATCATCTAAGGTCTGTATATGACCTCTCGCTCTTCCTTCCTTGATCAATCTTCAAACACTACCTGTATTCGGTTCCCCCTCTATCTATTCCAATTGTCTCCTACCCTATATTGATCACAGTGATGGTCACAATAAGGCGTAGCAGATGATACACTTTGAATCGGGCTTCCAAATTTTATGAAGAGAGTTCCCAAAAACGTTATAAGTATAGGTATATCAGACCCGTAAGGTCCAAGGTCCATCATTGATTAATCACGATAAATAGAAGAAGGTTATGTTTATTATAAAACAATTGCGAAATAAAGCAATTAAGTAACAATTAACCCGTAGCAGACATAATCTTTATATCATAAAATTAAGATATCCATATAAATCCTTTACGCAGAGTAAATGATATAAATCGGTTGCATTAAGACAAGGAGCGACATGTCCCAATTAAATTAAACTTCTTAAAAAGATTTACTATCTCATGCATTTTTATTACGGACTTGGACTCGCATTCGTTATTAGGTAAGCATGCACAGGCAAAAGTCGTTCTTTACCTAAGGAAGATGGGTATATATGCCTTTGTGTATGTGTGCACTTCGGTGCGGGTAATTAAGTTCGAATCACGTGACTGCTGCCGCGGATGGCTCATCATATACAATAAAACGTAAAATTAATAACCAACAGTCATCGTGCTTGTCAACCGTATATCTATCGGCAATATAATAGACGCAGTTGCAGTGAGGATACAGCAATTAGCTCTGCATGGTGCTTGTATTTCTGGCTTCCAACAATTACTTATCTCGTTGCACCGCACTGGTTGCTCCTAGAACAACTCCGAATATGATCAATTAACTATTACTTAACTAATTACCTCTTTTTAAGAAGAACACATCGATCGAAAATGCGATAAGATGTACTCCGATAAAATGTAGGTCCTTCTGTTTTCCGTTTTTCTTCAAAAAGGATCATGTAAAGTGCAAATTATTATGTAATACGGTACTATTAATTAGCAATTATCATGTTACCTGGAACATCTAATTCAGATTTCATTTCTTTCCCCTTTTCGATATGAGGTATGATAATGACTAATCATCATTATCATAATATCGTCCTAAGACTGGTTGAACACGCATCTCCACTTTTTCCTATCCTGAGCTAATCTTCGCATTTCCCTAAAACTAGAACAACCCACATTCTTAACAATTTGCGATCAGTAATCTAATCTAGGTGTACCTCCACCCCTTCCAACTCCCGTTTCTGCCTCTAGTATGTCTCTGACTAGACCCTCATGCCTGAGAAGGTGTCCTACCAACCTATCTCACCTATTTTTTATTGACTTCCTTAGAGTCCTCCGTTCTCCCATTCTTTCTAATATCTCTTCACTTTTAACCTTTTCTACCCACGGTATCCTCATCATTCGCCACTAACATCACATTTCGAACGTTTCTAACCTTTTCTTTTTCTCAGCGTTCACCGTCGATGTTTTGCACCCGTTCATTGTCGCGCTCCAAACATACACTTTTAACAACCTTTTTCGAATTTCTAAAACAACCGTTCGCGAGCATAGAAGTGACTTTTTTTATTGAAGGCGGCTCGGCCCTGCTCTATCCTCTGCTTTAAATCCTACTACTTTTTCCGTCCTGACTTATCTGACTTTCTAGATACCTAAAATCTCCTATCTTTATATTTGCTCTTCTAGATATAGTTAGCCTATAAATAATAGGTATAAATGAAGCTTTCCTTTGTTTTTGTTGTAATTTCTAGTTTTTTCGTTAAGGATAATAATTTGGGATTGTTCATATAGTTTCATACATATTTACGCATTGATTGAATTACTTTCATACTGCAGTTTCTAACATTATTTTATATAGTCCAACCGCTATCTTTCTTCAAGTCGTCTTAATCAACAAATAGACTGAATTATTCAGATCTCATTGAAAAGGAAATGAGACCATGCCAGATCGATTTGTAAATCAATAACATCCCATATCTGTGAATTAGTCATTAATAATGAGAAGCACATGGCTGTTGCTTCGGCAATTATCGTAAACGTCTCGTAAATATTATTGACACTGTCTGTGATCTATGAATTCTTCTGAATGTCGATGGAACAATCGCAAATATTCTTCATTTATATTCCATCAATGTACACTAGTGAAATATTTTTACAGTTTTTTTAAAGTGTTTTTCATATATTCATTTATTTACGTATATTATTTCTAATCCAATATCTGACTATTTGTTTTACAATAATCCATTAACCGTATACGTTATACACACAATAGTTGCGATAAGTCGTACAGCGTAGTACGCAGGTTCGAGCTTGTTTTCGACTCGAGCTTTCAACTGCATATATGTAGCCGTGGATTATTACACCATAATGGTATGTGTTTTTCACGATTTATTTTGAATAATTATGAACAATAAAATAATTGTGTGGTTGTGTAAAAGACAGAATAGATTATATTAAACAGTACTGCAGTAACAAGACTTACTGTTTGTGATAAAGTGTTGGATTTTTCCGAATGTATACTCCTTAAGGATTGCGAAGACTTCCATATAACCTAACATCTCTCTCTCTATAGAAGGTATTTATACATCCGCCTACATTGTTTATTACAATTTTTACTTGTGTTGAATTTAATTGTGTTTGTACTAGATGCAAATAAACTAAAAGTTTTTACTGTAAATTTAAGGATAATTTCCGCAAGTAGAAAGTAAGCAAATATGCACTTCACTTAATAATAATAGGATTGGATACGATTGGATTTTGATATGAACTGCAGTAGTATCTACTGCAGGCCTAAATGTTTATTTCTACAGGATTCTCCTTGATTTTTATTTAGGCTTCATGGTGGCTACTTTTCGGGAAAACTTGAAACCCTTGAAAGTTTCAAGGAATAAAACATTTCTGGAAAAGTTGGGAACCAAAACTTTCTGGAATAGTTAAGAAAGAAAATGTTTGGAATAATCGGGGAACTGTCAGAAAAATGTTAGAAAGTAAAGATTTTTTGGAAAAATCGAGCAATAAAGCCTTTGTAGGATAGTCAAAGGAATATTTGCGAATAATTTTCTGGAATAACTAGGAAAGTTTTAGCGAGTACAACTTTTCTGGAACAGTTGAAGAAATGTCAACGACTAAAAATTCCTGGATTAGTTCAGATATAAAAATATTTTTGACATAAGGAAAATCACGGTCCACAGTAAATAACTTCATGGCTTTTTTGACCATGATAACTCGGAATAGACAAAGAAATAGTTTCTAAAAATGCAAAAGCTACCTTATTTTATTTATTTAGGTAGGTGTACGTATATTTAAAATTATTGGTAAGTGTAAGTGTAGTTTGAAAAGTTTAGTATTACTTTTGATTCAAATGGACTCTGCCACACAGACCTGTAGCTTCCTATAATACATAGTATCATTATGTAGTGAGATATACAGTTTTACGACAATTATGGGGTGGCGCCAATTTTCTTCCGGTTTTACTAAATGCTGGTCGTCGGGTAGACGCTATCGAATATGATTTACAGGAATCGTTGCAGTCGGGATTAATTAACATTAATTAAGGCGACGGCAGTTTTGATAAATTGTTCCGGAAATGACTTTCCCATGCTTTGATTCGGTGTCATCGACTTTAATTGCGAAAAACTTGCGGAACATTGATCTCTTTTCTTCCGATTTCACGGAGTAAATAAATAATTGATTTCTAGTTCTTGCAATAGACACATAGGTACCTCCGCACACATGTAGATTGTAAAGGATCAACATGTCAGCTAGAAAGAAAATTCTTTATCAGACATCAGGGGTATGATTAAATGGAAAACATCCCAGGTGTTCTATTCTATTTTATTTCTGAATTCGAATCTGATAACGGAATTACCCCAGCATATCATGGTTTTGAAATATCTTAACTTCAAAACTCCAGGATTTGGCTTCTCCAATTTTGAAGTTAGGATACTTTAAAACTGTGGAATATTTATACCTAACAATTTCAGTATTATTTTATATTTCGTCATCATCATAGGGTCATTAGTACAAAGACTGGTTGGACCTCTTAACTCTTAAACCTAAACTTTCGGATGTTTCATTCCCACCAGCTACTAATGCTGGTGGGCGGACAGTCCCTTCGGACTACGCCGGAAGGTAGGACGGAAGGCCCTCTTCAACCTCCTTTCAGGAATGGTGGGAATAAGTGGGTGGTGGTTGGGGTGAGAATGATGAGACGGACGAAATGAAGACAGAGGAGAATGAAAGATTATCTGTGGAATATTACTGTCCCCGGCATTTGGCTAAGTGATCCAAGGAAACCACAGAAAAACTTGGACCAAGGCAGATGGACCCGGAATCCCCAATGCTATGCATTGCTCTAAACCTCTAGGCCATGCCGCTCCGTTTCTATCTCTTCTCTACCCCAGGTTAACCATCACATTTTCCTAAAACTTGTTNATTTTTAAATAAATTTAACGTTGTCATTTTTAACATTATCAAAAGCTTTGTCTAAATCGATACCATTAAATTTTTGAACTAAGAAAGGATAACGAAATATTCTTCGCTTTAATTGAACAAATCTGTAATCAAAGGGAGCTTTTCACGAAAGCTCATCGTCGCCTATACCCGCACGCCACTGAAAATGACACTTTTATATAGATAAGATTTAGGCTGTTACCATCTTTTAAGATAAGAGATTTTCTGCTCGGTGTTAATCTAAAGCGACGACCATCATGATTGCCTTGCCGGTGTTCCGACTGCACTTATAACATTTCGCGCCTAATATAGAAGGAATTCTGCTTTGAATAAGCCGTAAAAGCATATAATGAGGACGTTGTAAAGAAATTTTGCTCGTTTTGGAATTTACGCGTAAAAACACGAGGAAAATGTGTTATAGGCAGGTACGTTGCTGCTCTGACTCTTTTCAGTTTACTCACACTTTTATGACACCTTTATAAGTCGAGTTCTCCAAGGAAATAATTGACTAACAACTCGTCCTTAAACTTTTTTGAAAATAAATTGCTAGGATGTAGTGTTCTAAACAAAAGCATCACGCGAACCATTTCGTTTTTCTCGTTAGATTAGATAGATTTGTTCAATGAGCAAATTGATTCAAGCGTTCGCGTTCAGAGCTTTTTATTCTAAACGTTTCGTTGACATGCGTGGTAGATATTGATTTCAATTTTCCAGAAATTCGAGATTCATGACGGGATCGTCGAATTTCTAAAAATTCAAATCGATACCAAAGCTATAACAGTAAATTAATTAATAGGAATTTAGTATTTTTGTTCATCTTTTACTACTGCAGTTGTATATCGACGAATGCCCTAAGAATCTCGCATACGCTACTTGAAAGGACACAAAGAACTTGAGATTCGGATTTCCGAAACATTCAAATATCGAAAGAATTATAATATTCAGTATTTGTTCATCTTTTACTGCAGTTGTGCATCGACGAATGCCCTAAGAATCTCATATACAGTCATCATCATCATAGGGTCGTCAGTCCTAAGACTGTTCGACACGTACCTCAACTGTTTCCTATCCTGAGCTAAACTTCGCATTTCCCTAAAACTAGAACAGCCCACATCCTTAACTATTTGTGAACAGTAATCTAATCCAGGTCTACCTCTGCCCTTACTAACTCCTGTTTCTGCCTCTAATATGTCTCTGACTAGACCTTCATGCCTGAGAAGGTGTCCTAACAACCTATCTCGCCTATTTTTTATTAACTTCCATAGAGTCCTCTGTTCTCCTATTCTTTCCAATACCTCTTCATTTCTAACCTTTTCTACCCACGATATCCTCATCATCCGCCTATAACACCACATTTCGAAGGCTTCTAACCNAACAGCATAATATAGAAAAATATAGATAAAAATAAATAAAACAATGCGTGTTGATAATTCTTCTATATTTGAACATTTAGAAATAGGTATTTGAAATAATAGTAATAATAATAATACTTCTCCTAAATTAAAGGATAATTATTATTTAACTACTTTACATATTAGGTACATTTTGTTGACATGCCAACATTCATAACTGTTCACTGTACAAAACTGGAAAATATTTATAAACCTCTCGACAAGACCAATCTCACTCGTCTACATATATTACAATAGAAACAACTTCTGTACTAACACAAAAATCATTATAATAATATCCCGATAGAGGAAAGATTCACTTAAAAAGAACTGTTAGTACGTCCCAATCAGTGTGTAAACTCTGAACTTTCGCTCGTTATTGCACCAAATTCACATGTTCCAAGCCACTTTCGGTCCCGAGGCCTTTTCTCTCTTTAACGTTTGTCCAACGAAAATTAATATTGATGTTGTTGTTTTAATGATAAGGGATAATAAAAGAGTGAGAAAGTAGAAAGAAAAGTGAGAAAGAGCCGATCACATTTGGTCATATTTATTCCTAAACGTACGCTGGTATAACAAAACTATGTACTAATCACCGGATTTTTTCATTAAACAGCTGGCCATACCCTGGAAAAAAAACAGATAAAAATTAGAATCATCAAATAAAGTTTATCAAATTCAATTCTTAATGGTAACTATCGACTCACAGCATGGGGTTATTTTATTACATGCAGCCATCAAAGGGTGTAATCGTCTTTTGAAAAATACGATAGGGAAAGTTGTACAAATACTTTTGTAATTTTGTAAACTGTAACATTTAGTAGTAAATACTCTCGCCTAACATCATCATAAACTCGTCAGTCCTAAGATTGCACGTACTTACACTTCTTCCTTAATCTTCGCATTTAAACTAGATATGCCTCTACTCCTCTTAACTCCTGCTTCTGCTTCTAATATATGTATATTGCCAACCTATCTCACCTATTTCTTATTGATTTTCATAACGTTCTCTGTTCTCCTACTCTTTCTAATACCTTATAATTTCTAATCTTCTCTATCCATGGCGTTCTCATCATTCGCTTCTAACTTTTTCTTTCCCAAGGCGCTCACCGTCCATGGTCCTTACCCGTACGGCGCCGCGCTCCAGACACTACTACTATCACCATCTACAAATCTAAGCATACTAATCTTTTGCCCCTGTATATTTATCCCTAGTGTTGTCCTGTCTTTAATGAAGTTTATTGCTTTTTCGATATACAAATTAAAAAGTAGCGGTAACTCTATGCCTTCTTGTCTGACCTCCTAATATTTATTTCTCTCTCCTACGTTGCTGTTGCTTTTTAAATATATTTAACATCTTGTCCCATTTAACATTTGAAAATTGAAGAATTGTGAAAAGTATAAAAATCGATACCATTAAATTTTTGAACTAAGAAAGGACAACGAAATATTCTTCGCTTTAATTGAACAAATCTGTAATCAAAGGGAGCTTTTCACGAAAGCTCATCGTCGCCTATACCCGCACGCCACTGAAAATGACACTTTTATATAGATAAGATTTAGGCTGTTACCATCTTTTAAGATAAGAGATTTTCTGCTCGGTGTTAATCTAAAGCGACGACCATCATGATTGCCTTGCCGGTGTTCCGACTGCACTTATAACATTTCGCGCCTAATATAGAAGGAATTCTGCTTTGAATAAGCCGTAAAAGCATATAATGAGGACGTTGTAAAGAAATTTTGCTCGTTTTGGAATTTACGCGTAAAAACACGAGGAAAATGTGTTATAGGCAGGTACGTTGCTGCTCTGACTCTTTTCAGTTTACTCACACTTTTATGACACCTTTATAAGTCGAGTTCTCCAAGGAAATAATTGACTAACAACTCGTCCTTAAACTTTTTTGAAAATAAATTGCTAGGATGTAGTGTTCTAAACAAAAGCATCACGCGAACCATTTCGTTTTTCTCGTTAGATTAGATAGATTTGTTCAATGAGCAAATTGATTCAAGCGTTCGCGTTCAGAGCTTTTTATTCTAAACGTTTCGTTGACATGCGTGGTAGATATTGATTTCAATTTTCCAGAAATTCGAGATTCATGACGGGATCGTCGAATTTCTAAAAATTCAAATCGATACCAAAGCTATAACAGTAAATTAATTAATAGGAATTTAGTATTTTTGTTCATCTTTTACTACTGCAGTTGTATATCGACGAATGCCCTAAGAATCTCGCATACGCTACTTGAAAGGACACAAAGAACTTGAGATTCGGATTTCCGAAACATTCAAATATCGAAAGAATTATAATATTCAGTATTTGTTCATCTTTTACTGCAGTTGTGCATCGACGAATGCCCTAAGAATCTCATATACAGTCATCATCATCATAGGGTCGTCAGTCCTAAGACTGTTCGACACGTACCTCAACTGTTTCCTATCCTGAGCTAAACTTCGCATTTCCCTAAAACTAGAACAGCCCACATCCTTAACTATTTGTGAACAGTAATCTAATCCAGGTCTACCTCTGCCCTTACTAACTCCTGTTTCTGCCTCTAATATGTCTCTGACTAGACCTTCATGCCTGAGAAGGTGTCCTAACAACCTATCTCGCCTATTTTTTATTGACTTCCATAGAGTCCTCTGTTCTCCTATTCTTTCCAATACCTCTTCATTTCTAACCTTTTCTACCCACGATATCCTCATCATCCGCCTATAACACCACATTTCGAAGGCTTCTAACCTTTTCTTTTCCGCCGCACCTACCGTCCATGTTTCGCACCCGTACAGTCCCGTGCTCCAAACATATATCTTTAACAACCTTTTTCGAATTTCTAAATTAACCGTTCGCGAGCATAGTATACATATACAGGACGCTACTTTAATCAACACAAAGGACTTGAGACTCGGATTTCCGAAACATTCAAATATCGAAAGTATTATAATAAACTAAACGTAATAGAAATTCAATATTTATTCATTTTTTACTACTGCAGTTATGTATCGACGAATGCCCCAAGAATCCCATATATACAGTACGCTATTGTAAAGAACACAAAGAGCTTGTGATAAATAACTTAATTTTTAGATAAATGATCGTAATTTGTCCAACTGATTTTCTCCGTGCTACCGCTAAACAAGCAAGCAATTACATTTAACATTCCGACCCATTTAAATGGCTGTCTTAGCCGCCGTGCTCGCTACTTGTAAACTGTAATTTTTGTTGTCGGAATTATTAGGAAATAATCAAGTCCCATATTCCCGTTACTCGGAACGGAACAATAACCGCGAAACAGTTCCAAAAACTTCGGCGATGATTTTTTTTTCCATTTCGCTCATCTTTAAGCTTCACATATAGATACATCATGCATTCACATAAAATGAGAAATGTATTGAGTCTAATAATGCGGCGGCATGTACGCCGTAATAATAGGCACCGGTGCTCGTTATTCTCGAACATCCAGTTAAGATGAGCGACTTATTATTTCGACGGTTCGAACCTGTTGGCAATCTATCATAATGCGGAACTGTTACCTTATCTTTCAACACGAGTACTCCGAAAGATGATAAATGCATTTTTTACTAACCTTTTTACCTGATTTGTACCTACACAGGTATATAGTTGGTAAATTTGGAAAAACAAATGTTATATGTATGTTAATACGTATTGCGATTTAACAAAACCGCGGATTTTTATTTTTCTTCCTAATCGGTTGGTAGTTATGGTATTTTTGGTTTGATCCGAAAGATATTTTGTCCTTTGAATCATCAAAGAACAACGGTCATGTTGGAAAGAAGCATTTTTGAGAAGATACAAGACGTTAAATGTTTTTCAACAATAGAAATGTTTTATTACCCAAATTGTATGCTTCTTAATCTAGAAGAACTGTTAAGGATGATTACCACCAACAAGGCCTGCATCTAATGTTATCCTAAAAAAAGGGTCAAGTAGGGCCTTACTAAATATCAGAATTGTTTTGAAATTGAAAAACATTTATCGCCCTAGTGTCTTTGTAATAACGCAGCTTTTCAAAAATCATGAAAAAATAAAATATTAGTGAAATTCTATAGCAAATTGCCTATCATGTTGTACCGTACGTTTGAAAAATCTTACAGAAAATGTCAAATGTATAGATAGATAAATAAATTGAAAATATGAAACATCAGCTATTATTCTGTCAGCAAGACAACGTCTAGCCTAGACATGTCCTTACAGTGGGCATAAGTTGTGTGCTATACCTAATACAGCGCATGGTTGTGTAATTTTATTGATATATAAACTGCGTATTACCTTATACAAAGTACATATAATAAATGTTTGTCTTCTGAATGTGTTTAATTGGCGTAGTTATTAATGTTGTTATCTGCTACTAATTAAAGTAACATGCAATTTATTCTCACCTATTGGGTAGCACAGCAAGTGATATATGTTCCTAGCTAGTTCATAACTTCTTTGAATTAGCTGGATTTTATCCAATGTGTTTATCGTTCTATATTATTAAAAATGAGCCACATTTCCTATTTTCTTAAAAGTCCTTTACTGTTTACAAAGTTCATTGAAAGTAATAAGTCTTTTTTTTAACTTAAAATTAGGAATTTTTTTGTCGGTTATATAAAATTAATATACCTAACAATTTGGGACAATGGAAATCCTTGCAGCTTTTGTTGTAGCACTTAATTATGACAGGGGCGCAATTTTTCTAAATATTTTTTAACAGTTCTTCAAACAATAAAGGATAAGTTATAAGGACAGATGGCGTGCGCAAATTTTATCGAATTAATTCGTAAGCTTTAAGAGAGAAGTTAGCTATGATTAATTATTTTTGTTACAAGGTGCAAGAAAATTACTGTTGCCTTTATTCGAAATTAATTGGTGTTCTACTGGCTAGTCGATCGAGTTTTGTAAAGGCTCATAAGACAATTCCTAAGTACATTATTTCGTGCAATTTTTTGTAGTTTTGGTCGATACCAAATAGGTACGTATTCAGTTTAGCGGTCGTTACAACAACGTAACATGTTAGATACTAAGCAGATATTTGCTGAGTTACGTAACACGCATAAAAAATCCAGCTTGTGAAAGAATGTTTCGTGAAATATCATCATATAGCGTGAGGAAAATTATAGCCACGAGAAGAAAAAATGCTTCGTCTATCTGAGCATGTCTCAAACCAACATTTTTAAAATTATTGAGAAAAATACTTTTATGTTAGTTAGTTAATAAGTTAATATAAGTTTCTTCAAAGTCCTAATTAAGTGAAATATTGCCACTTGTTCTTGAAGGTTTTACTTTAAAAACTCGTCTACAATTTTTTGAAACAACTGAACTAAATACCAAAAAGACAAAGCTCTTTGAATTCATTCTTTCTAGTATTGAAAGTGCTACTAGGATCGTGTATATTGGGATCTATCTCATAGAAAAATCAAATCGTCGAACGACGGTCGATGATGATTGGAAATGTAAATAAATACATAAAAGATAAATATTCGATGATTGAATAATGTCGATGCTCTGTGTCTTCTAGGTATATACTTTAACTTTCTTTGATTAAATAATTTTATAATTTAAAGAAAAATGCAAATCCCTTAAAATATTGTCATCTATTTTAAGTTTAATTACTACACCACTTTCTATTTCGATAAGACTACAATAATATTATCTTACAACTAATTGATACACTATCGGCATATCTTATGTTTAGTGAAAAAAAAGTTTAAAATGAATTTGTTAACTCACGTTAAAAGGCCGGGATTATCCGTCGGATACCACGAATACTGAGGGAGGTAGTTGTGCGGGGGATGTGGGTGTGGAGGCGGGGGTGCCGATGGGTGCGCTGACGGTGGATGTAAAGGTTGCTGAGGTTTCACGTCCCAACTGCTGGGACTAGGAGCGGGTTGGTGACCTGCCGACATGTCCGATCCTGGAGTCGAGGAAGGTGCTGGTGACGAGTGCTGCATGTAACCCCCCGTCGCCGGGGAACCACTTGAAGAACCACCTCCTGAAAATACAAAAATTCTACTTTTACTGTCTACTGTACTAATATCTAGTACGGGCGCTATTTCATTTAAGTTGATTGGTTGTATAACATAAAGATGAAACCCATAATGCATACATCCCTGAGACAAATGATTTATGAGATTTACTTCTTGAAATAACGTCTCTACTGTACCTAAAACAGTCGTGAACGTACCTTGCATCATGTTTTGACTTTGTGGTCCTGGACTACTGCTAGAAATATTCGCGCCACCGGTCAAGAGACCCGGATGCGTGGAACCTGGGGTTGTGTTGTTGTTATTTTGACCCGACACCTGTGCTGCCTTCATCATCTTCTTGTATTTACTCCTCCTGTTTTGAAACCAGATTTTCACCTACAAAAAAAAAACAGTAATCATTAGAACCCCCTCTTACATATATATAAATAAATAACATTTATAGAATCAATGGAAGCGGTACTGACAGATCAGTACTGTATGAAAACAAATAAAAGTAAAACTAAAATACTGGTATGCAAGGGAAGAAAAAGTAGAGAAAGAGCGAATATAAAGACAGGAGACGAAAAATTAGAAGTGGCTGATTTTAGATACCTAGGAAGTCAAATAAGTCAGGGTGGAAGGAGTAGTAGGAATATAAAGCAGAGGATAGCGCAGGGTCGTGTCGCCTTTAATAAAAAGAAGTCACTTCTATGCTGGCGAACGGTTAATTTAGAAATTCGAAAAAGGTTGTTAAAGGTGTAGGTACGTTTGGAGCACGGCTTTGTACGGGTACGAAACATGGACAGTAGGCGCGGCGGAAAAGAAAAGGTTAGAAGCGTTCGAAATGTGGTGTTATAGGCGGATGATGAGGATATCGTGGGTAGAAAATGTTAGAAATGAAGAGGTATTGGAAAGAATAGGAGAACAGAGGACTCTATGGAAGTCAATAAAAAATAGGCGAGATAAGTTGGTAGGACACCTTCCCAGACATGAAGATCTAGTCAGAGACATATTAGAGGCAGAAACAGCAGTTAGGAGGGGTAGAGGTAGACCGAAATTAGATTACTGTTTGCAAATAGTTAAGGATGTGGGGTGTTCTGGTTTAAGGGAAATGCGAAGTTTATCTCAGGATAGGAAAGAGTGGAGGTACGTGTCCAACCAGTCTTAGGACTGACGACCTTATGTTGATGATGATGATATAGAATCAATATGATGCGTATCAACAATATTAGCATCGCGATGTACCGGTGCCCAGTTGTGATAGTCAGATAAGGTCATCTTAATCTTTAAAGCCCAATGGTTGTTTGTTAAGTATAAACAAAGAGAAGTTTAAAGGACAAATGGACGCGATGTTCAATTAAGGTTGACAGAATAGGGACAAGGAATATTATTGTTTAGAACGAGCGTGAGACAAGATAATCCTTCAATTACAATACAGAACGTCTCGTCGACTGAGATCTTGGATAACAAATTTTAAAATTGACATAAGGGGTCATCCATGAAGTACGTCACACGTTAAGAGGGGTCGACGAAGTGTGACACTGCGTGACAAGGGGTGGGATTTCAAAATCTTATACATCTAAGTGTTAAAATGCCAAATATGTGAACTATTAACGAAAAACATTTAAAACATAAAAATATTTCCAAGTTTGTTTGGATGATGATGATACTATAGAGTTGGATAAAAAAGATGTTGACACATCAAATATTCCTGACTTTAACAACTCAAAACGGAAACGAAGTGACTGCTATGCCGGTTATAAATAAATAATTTTAAGAAGTGGGTTCAAAGTCCACGGATCCGAGACGATTAAGTTTGTAACTTCTATTAATACAACTAATAATAACTTTTGTTAATTTTTCAAATGTTTGATTTGATGTTGTTCATAGATATTAAAAAATAATTTAAATGGAAATAAAAGTAATTTCGGAACTGCTGTTTTAATTTGATAATTCCTAGATGTAAAATTGCAAAATATGTGATGTCACACTGGGGACGAGGATTTCACAACTGTAACAAAGACGGGGAGGGGTTAAAAATTCGTATGACCCCTAAGTCCAAACATATTCTTAAACACATTACATGCATTTAAGGATATAATTTCATGTTTTTCTTTGTGCAAATTTTTCCTATAAGTGCTCTGATTTCAACTCGCTTTCAAGTAATCCGCGTTACTACTTGATGTTACAAAGCAATGTTTATGCATACATTACAAACTTGTAATGGAAAATCAATCCTTTTCACGATATTGCCAAGGATATTAATTCCTCTGTTCCTTTTATGCTAAAGTATTCTGTAAAGCAAGAAACGTCCGCCGCGGTTGCTAGTTTTATACCAAGCCGAGCAGAATATTAACAAACTTTATTCATAACAGCTGCCAACCGTCAGTTACATGAAGATTTCAAGCGCGAGACGATCATTTTTACTCTTTGCATGTAATAATTAAACTCAAAGAAGATGGATGCCGCAACGAAAGAGGAAGAGAGACCGAGAACGCGAACAAGAGAGGGACGATGGAGGTTCGCGATTACAAAACGAAACAATCACCGTGATATCTAGCAGGCCTTGTAACATTTCCTCGGATTCAACCTTTACAATGTGAAGTCCTGAGGACGGACGCCGCGTTGCCTAGTCGACCACGATACTCTCATGCAAAAGATCACTTTTAATACCTACTCCTTAGTCTTTCAACTAAGTACGTGTACCTTCAGACAAGTTAAGCCTTTTTAATTTAGATCTAAACAAAAATAATGTAAAGTAGGAATAGCCAGAATTAGAATGGACCTGAATAATAAAATAATTCGAAGTGGTCTGTATTCGGTCGAAACTGCCAGACGCGGATCGCGATTTCGATCTTTTTGGATCTCATCAGCGCGTCGCAGGAAGCTCCGACAGAACACAGACCAACCTTTACCTGTTGTCTTAACAGTGCGTTTCAGAAAATACTACAAACGGCACAGTGTAGCATCGTGCTACAGATGGCGTTCACTGTGCCGTTTGTAGTATTTTCTGAAACGCACTGTTAAGACAACAGGTAAAGGTTGGTCTGTGTTCTGTCGGAGCTTCCTGCGACGCGCTGATGAGATCCAAAAAGATCGAAATCGCGATCCGCGTCTGGCAGTTTCGACAGAATACAGACCACTTCGAATTATTTTATTCGATTATGGTAACGTGCCTATCACGTTGAGTTTGGCTACGCCAGGATTCGTTTCAGCAAGTAGATATCCACACAAGTGGACCTTGTTGAAAAATACGTAATCCTAAAATGTAGCATCGTGCTACAGATGGCGTTCAATGTGCCGCTTGTAGTATTTTCTGAAAAGCACTGAATAATGTTCAAAAAATTGGAAGAACAGTGCATAAAACGTAATTCGTGTAACAGTTTAGTTCTTTAATTTACTGTATAAGTAGTACTTGAGTGGTCAGAGAGAGAGAGAGCGGAACGGGAAAAGGCAGCATTAATTTGTGTTAAATCGGTCAAACCGGTCGGTTTTCGTCACATAATCAAGCGCAACACTCGTTAATAGCTGCCGCAGGGCCACTCTCTTAAGAAGTACCGATAAATTAATGTCCTTTCTGAACGAACGTCCGCGGACCGCGTTTGACCCACCGACGATCGAACGTCCCCGGCGAATTTTGTATTTTGTGCCGGTCGTCGGTTCGTTATCTCTGCGGATAAATACGCCGAGGATCTTGAACTTTTTACACGGAAAACTTGGTTTAATGATGCAATGGGTTTTCGAGAAATTTTTACAGCAGTTGTCGATAAAAAATGCACTTGCAGGTGCTTTTGTATGTGAACCTCGGTCTTCGTCAGGATTTGTTGAAGACCGAATTTATTCACGAAACAGATAGGTCAATCAACAATTTGTTCGAGTGATATTATTTAAACAGAATAAATCGTAATATCTATCAAGTAACTACCAATATATCGTCAACAATAAATGAGTTTTATAGTGTTTGATAAAGCATCTCCAGTGGGCTTTTAGCGTCTCTGAACGAGAGACTCGAGTCGCTCAATAAGTGGTGTCTCCATAGACATGGTTAAAATTTTCCAAGTTCAACATATTTCAGAGATCCCAGTCTTTCTACGAGAGACTCGAGTCTCCCAATTTTTCAGTTTTATTCATTCAGTCTCTCTGTGAGAGACTCTAATCTCTGAATTAATAATTTTACCGTTCGAGTCTCTCATACAGAGACTGTGAGAAATCCATAAAAACACCTAGGCAATAACTGAGAGACTGTGAAAGACTGTGAGAGACGCTGAAAAATTATGAAAGACTCTGAGAGACTGGAAATTTTTGTCTAGGGAATGGATTACATTCACTTAAAATGATTACAATTAGTTGAGCATCGCGATCGCTCTTAGTTACTTACTTGAGTTATCTCTTTTAAGACGGATTAGTAACGTAACAACTTACTATATTTGGGCAAGGTCACATCAGTCTTAACAGGGCTTGCCATAATTCAGATAGAGTATCGACTTTAGGGTCACATATGTTTTAATAGGACTTGCTATAAATGGTTCAGATAAAGTATCGACATTAGAGTCACATAAGTCTTAACAAATCTTGCCGTAAAATGGTTCAGATAAAGTGTCGACCTTAGGGTCACATCAGTCTTAAGAGGTTTTTTCGTAAGGGGGTTCGGGTAGAATATAGACACTAGGGCCAGATCAGTCTTAACAAAGCTTGCCGTAAAAGGGTTCAGATAAAGTATCGACATTAGGGTCACATAAGTCTTAATAGGTCTTACCCTAAAAGTTTCAGATAAAGTATCTACATTAGGGGCATATCAGTATTAAATGCGCTTGCCGTAAGAGGATTCAAACAGAATATCGACCTTAGGGTCACATCAGTCTTAAGAAGGTTTACCGTAAGGGGCTTCAGGTAGAATACAGAAACTACGGACATATCAGTCTTTACAAAGCTTACCCTAAAAAAATTCAGATAGTGTATCGACATTAGGGCCACGTCAGTCTTAATAGGATTTGCCGTATAAAAGGGTTTAGATGGCGTATCGGCATCAGGGCCAAGTCAGCCTAAATAGGACATGATATTAAATGGCTTTACTACTCAGGGCCTGATTATAGCCATATATAGATAATATGGAGTATGGCCCGGAGGTAGTAACAAATTTCGAGTCGGGTTAGTAAAGCCCTTATGTAACATTTGAAGTACTTCACTTAGCGATAGGTATTTATCTAAATATTAATAAATAACGACACAGGTGTTCCGCAAGCGGTACTATTATATAGGTGACCAAATATAATAGGTACATATTTCTATTAACTTTTAAGAATAACTCATTGACTTCTGGGTTGATGCATCGGCCCCGCGTCACCTCTTTACCGGAGGCCCTCGAGCAGGCATTCAAATCGACAATCAGTCCGTGA